TTTTGATCTTTAAGATAAACACTCCTTTCCTTCAGGACTTGGAAGGTATAGGAGATGGATGGGAAGAAGTGGAAGAGAAATGATTTATCAACTCCTAAATGCCAATATCATATACGTACATCCATGCATAAAGACATACAAATCATATTTTATCCTATAAGAACATTAAACAAAACCCCTTTAACTGTTGCAGAAAATCCATCCCTGTGAAATGTCTAAATTTCTTTACCAAATTCAAGTAATTATTCGCTTACCTTGGTGACTGCATAAAAATATGGCCGGAACTTATATTTGGTCTTAAATGTCGAACCATCCTTCAATTAAATCATTAAACGAAATAAATATCAAACTTCTCTTAGGTCAAAGTATACTGCGTTAATTATCAATAATAAAAACTGAATCTTTAATCTTGTTTTACCTGACATACGAAATAAAGATCAACACAGCCGTACGTTTTACGCGTCTCCTGATCCTCCCAAGATGACTAAACACAAAACCACGTCAAAAAATCAAAATAGCTGGAATTCGAGCAAATTGAGTCAAAATGAGATGCTAAATAGAGAACAGATTATAAATAGAGAATTCATAAAATGAAAAACCAAATTAAAAAAAAAGGGAGAAAAATAAAATGTTTTCTTCTTTTTTTCGCTTAAGTTCTAGATAGTTTATCTTGATAAATTTATCTTGCAATTGTTAAATAAAGAATATAAAAATGGATGAAGTACAGAATCGGGTTCGTTATTGTCTCTTTTTTTCACTCGTTTGACCGAAAGAGTGAGTGCAATTGCCACAAAGCAAACAACTTAAAAGTCCAATTGGAACATACCTCAATAGCATAGGTATTGCAAGACCATAGAAATAATAACAAAGTACCAACACTAAACTTTGAACATCTTGAAAGTAATCATTTATTATTTCTAAATATCAACTTAAAGCATGAAGCGTTTCTCTTACAACGGGTACAGACTATGCAAATTGCAGCAGGAATAATGAAAGAGAATCATAATAAGATCCATAACTAAATAAATAATGTCAAGAAAAAGAAATTAAAAACCAAAATAAGTACCTCTTCGGTAGATTCACATTTATGCGCTTCGCAGAATTATCAATCTCGGCTTGAGGACTTTCTTCCTTCCTGATGTTGATTTTGTCAAAAAAAATTGATTCAGTCAACTTATAATATCCACAAGCTTGGATACTTCATAACACCAAAAATCTGCATCCCTTATTATTTATACTTTCGTTTCAATCAAATCAGTCCTTCCGACTCTGTTAACAAATAGTGAACAGAAATCATTAATTGACAAAATAAATGTTTCCTGTTTGTTAGGCTAATAACTTTGACACAAAGTTTGACAACTCCCAAAAGTTTTTATTAGAAAACATGAACGACTTTTATGTGTGAAAAATAAAGAGCAATTGACCTTGTAATTGTGATGCACGTGAAGGACGACCAATACGTCTTTCCTTGTTTCCTTTGAATTCCTTTCGCTCTTCATATGATTCTCTTCGTCTCTTATTTTGTATTTCTTTTTTGTTTGTCAGAGAAACTCTCAGCTCCACCATCGTCGCACCACGATCGTCGCAGTCATTGGAAACACATACCCGACGAGAATTAGACATTATCCACAAAAATAATAAAAAAATGAAAAATGTTTTCAAACATCAAAAGTAAAAACTCATTATCTTGATGCAAGAGAACATAAATAAAAAGCATTAAAGCTCTCCTATATTGACAAATGCAAAATGAGATAATTAAAAGCAAAAGCCAAAATTTGCCCACACTGATATGCATCAGTACACACTTAAAATAATATCTTATTAATTATTATCTTGATGCAAAATTAATACTTTAATAGAAGGCAGTTTGAATTCTTCCATTAAGAGCATCTTAAAGCTAATTTCAATTTTCTAACATCTTTGGATAAATTTAAGAGAAAAAAATTAATATGTCTCAGTACTTGGATCAGCGGTTTTACATGCTTATATTGATGTTGAATTTGGAATATCTTGCACTCAGTAAGTGAAGTCCACAAATTCTGCGAAAAAGATCTAACGGGTTAACAATGAAAGAATGCTGATCTCAGTAAATAAATCTCAATCTACTATAACAAATGATCGTAATTTACCAAATGAAACTACATTGAAACTCAATTTACCATATGCATAGTAAGTACTTTATGGAACTATATTGAAACTCAATTTACCATATGCATTGTAAGTACTTTATGGAAGATACAGATTAATACAATTGAAATTCATATATCAACATAAACCTCAACTACATTTATACAACTCCGAATAAGTAACTTGAACAACACAAGAAGTTTAGACTTGGGCGTAATGAACTTGAGTTCAAATGATCAATAGCACTTTTTTTTTTGCACCATGTTAAATTGCGTCCAACAAATCTAGCTATTCAGTATACACTCCCATGTATCCATATTGTGTTCCAAGTGTTTTGACATAAATCATAATCTCTACTCATAAATAGACTTAAAAAAACACATCTAAATTTGGAACTCCAAATAAGATTTTGAATTTCAATTTCCAATCCTAATATTTGACCAACGAAAAAATCACCACTCATGTGTGCCGTCTACAATCTGCAAACATTTCCCTCCTTTTAATATTCCCATTTCCATTCTTTATGCACACAATACAATTTACAGGTTCAAGCATGAAGCATTTTTCTCTTTCTATGGTTTCTACCTCTCTCTCTAAAATTCCATGAATCAATAATTCTTTCCATAATTCTTCCAATTTCAATGATACCCTCTCCGATTCCACCTCTTTCCAAAAGCATCAAACCCATAATTTCAGCCCATCATTCTTGAAAAAGTTGAATAAGTCCTAATTCGATAATACGGTTAACCCTTTTTATTTTTCGTAAATTATTATTCTATGGTTATACTTCTTGCAAATCTGACCCTCATAGTGTTTTCATGAGATGAAATTCCAAACACATATCCAAAATCCAAAAAAATATTCAATAACCCCCAAAATTCTCATCAAAAGTCAGTGACTATATAGTTATTAGCAAAATTGGAAGAAAATAACTCGAATATCAACCTGATTGTAGCAACCTTCCACTCTGTTTTGCTCTTCTATATCAACCCTTCCACTCTGCAAAACCATTAACCATTATTCTCAACATGGTGAAGTGGTGAAGTGACGGATAAGAATTGCCAAAATTGATGTGGAAACAACATATGCAAAATCTTGTTTCATCGTCAATTCTAGCTTTACAATCAAACACTTGTAATTAAAATTACAGCTTAAGTTTAATCAAACAGGTAAAGGGAGGGATAAGAATTGCCAAAATTCATCTCCAAACAACACGTCTAATATCTTATTTTATTGTCAATTCTAGCTTTATTTCAATTGAAAGAAGCTGGGATGTTGTTCTGAGATAGCAGCCAAACACCCACCTCCTCTACCTCCTTTTTGTCTTGCTTCGGAGGCGGAGACTTTGATACCCCCACCGGCCCCTTTTCCTTTCGTGCTCTCTTCCGCTTCCCACCACTTGCGAACATTTGATGCCCTGCTCGCGCGGCTTGTAAACACATAACCACCGTATAATTCGAAGGTTTGATTTGAAGAAGGAGAGACGGGGATCGAAGATGAGAGGCGAAAAATAGGAAGATGGTTTAGGGTTTGGAGGCGACGGGGAAGACTCCGTCAGCGATGGACGGGAGCGAGNAAGAGAGGCGAAAAATATGAAGATGGTTTAGGGTTTGGAGGCGACGGTGAAGACAACGGCAGCGATGGACAGGAGCGAGAAATGAATTGAAGACCGAAGGACATACCATTTAAGAGAAGTCGGCTTGACCCACAACAACCAACATCATCACCGCTCGACCACCATCGACCCGTCGATTCCACCTCCATCGCAACTCCAAACCACCGCCATCCCGTCGGCCTCCACACTATGACCGCAGTCGAAGTCTTTTGTCTCCATGGGGGTGTGTGTGTGTTTGTGTGAGGAGAAGGGATTAGGGCTTGGCTTGGTGGGAGTACGTATGAAGTGAGGGAGCAAAGCTGCAAAAGCCAGCCTCTAATGAATGGAGAAAGAAAAAAAAAAAAAACAATAGAAAAACGGCGTCGTTTCGATGTAGGATTTCTACAGTAACCTTATCTTCACTTAGTTTCTACAGTGATCCATATCCTCACTCTTTTAATATATGTAGGAAATATCCAAACATACATTGGTAATTCAAAATTACATTATTTTTGGAGGTGTTCACAACTAGAATTTTGATGGATTTTAAAAGATTTTAAATTCTAATGAAATCCGTGGATTTGAAAAGATTTTCACAAATCCTTAAAGAATCTATTAAAAATAGTGATTTTTCAAAAGAATTTGTTATATGTATTTTTAACCTTGAAATCTATCCAAATATTTTAAAATTCTTCTATTAATAAAATCCTTATAAATCCACTAGTTAAATTTTACTGAAATTTATTAAAATCTCAATTGGAGACACCTAAATTTTAATGGATTTCATTAAAATCTAGTAAAATCTCAATTAGTAGAATTTTTAAAATCCATCAAAATTTTAATTGAGAATACTCCCCTTCATCTATAAATATTTGTCTTATTAGCACAGCGTTCCTACGTTTCACTCTTATTGTGCAAAACGTCCTCACGTTTCAAATTTTTTGCATTTTAACTCCTATTTCAACGTTTCATTATGAAAATCATCATTTTTATCTAATTTCTCATTAAAAATGGTAAAATGACAAATATATCCTCATATTTAAATAAAACAAAGAAAAATAAAATAATAGACAAAATTGCAATCATACTCTCAATTTTTTAAAATAAGTACAAATAAATCACAAATAAATTAAATTAAAAAATCAAAAAAGAAAAGAAAAGTCTTCTTCTTCCCCCTCTCCCTCTCTCACTCACTCCCACTCCCATCCCCACTTCCCACTTCCCACGCCCACCCCTCACCCTTATGCTCACCCTCACCCGATAGCATCGCTATAGCCACTGCCTTGAAATCCTCAGGTAATTAAATCACTCTTTCTTTGTTTTTGTTATGTAAATCAAAAGTTGATTTTGCTTTGTTGTGTGAGTCCAAGTGAGAATGAATTGACTGTAAATAAGGGAAATTCTTTTACATTTATTCGAAGAAGGAGCTTGAAAGACAAGTCATGATCTATAGGGCTTATTAGCACAAAACATGCAGACTTTTGGTCAAACTTTTGCATTTTTCACCTCTTTTTCTTGTTGATCTTCTTTTTCTTCGATGATTTCTTCTTTTTACAATTTTGGTACTTGATCAGATGTGGATTTTAAAAAGATGTTTCTTAGTATTGGTGTTTGAGTACAGTGATTGATTACCTAAAAAAGGCGCAAGCGAACAGATGGTAAGAAACAAAGGTTCTTAAGAGATGTAGTGTCCCATCACAAATACTGTAAGTGCCATCTACAGAAAAATCGTCTCCATTCAAGAAAGCTTGTC